CGCCCGACGCACCTTCGACGGGTTGTTCGACTCGCGACGCTTCAGCTGGGCGCCCCGCATTGTCGCTTCTCTGCGACCCGTGGTCCGACCGTACACACGTCGTTACTACGTCGACCCGTGTCTTCAACACCACGCGCGACAGCGTCGAGTGGCCACGCGTCTGCAACTTGCTCACCGTCGACGTCTCCACCGCTGGCGCACGGGTCAGCCCCGCTGTTGGTGACTTCACAGCGACTACTGGGTACGATGTGGGCTTGCTATCCGCGTGAACTTCTTCCTCTAGCTCACCTCGACGCGCGTCGAATTCCAGATCTTCGTACGTCGGCCATCCATACATGGGCCAGACGAGCTCGTCGTCACGCCAGGTCTCGTCCTCGTCGCAGGTCACTTCATACGCAAGGTTTTGCCAATCTTGGTACTGTCGATTAGTCGCCAGCACGAAGCGGGGCGCAGGCGGAAACACATCGGAGGGTGTCCACCAACCCACGTTCGTGCCTGCGTCGAGCGTTATTGTCTCGTCCGTGACGTTGGTCACCCGCAGGTATGTTTGTCGCTCGATCTTAGTCTTAAACATGGTTGTAACCCACGTTTTGCTGCGCGTGACCCACAGGCGCGGTGCATCTCGGCTGGAGCGCAGGCGGACGTCGAGTGTTTGCCCTGGGTCGAGTCGCTTAAGCGCGTCGAGTGAGACCGGCCGCACTCGTGCGTCGTAACGCGATTGCTCGGGAGTCGTAGAGGCCCGCGCCGTGCCCAACGGTCGCCTGGATGTCGTCGCAACCGGCACTGCGACGGACATCACGGCGTGATTACCAAGTCCTTGCTGGCGCATCTCCTTCGACGCGTCCCGCGTCGACATTTTCTGCGTCGAGTTTTTTCGCGTCGAGTTTCTTGGCTCGACATGAACCGCAGAGACATGGGTATTCGACGCCTGAGTTATCGTAGAGCGCGTACTCGCCTCTTCCAGCGCCTTAGGAATTGCTTCCTTCAGATCCGGCAGAACCTTGATACGCGCTGGCGTGACCTCACGGGGCGTAGCGCGCGGCGGCTCGCTCAGGTGGTCGAAAACCTCGTCCAGTTCCGGTGAAGTCGTGGTTGAGGTCGCGGCCGTGGTTTTCGGCATCCCGAAGTCCACGTCAAACAAGTCGGCGGGTTCGTCATCTACGTCGCGTCGGGGTTTGGACCTCGACGTGGAATGCACGATCGACTCAGCCTGGGACGAAGTTATCATCTGCGTTGAGATTGGGCGCATCCCAGGCGGAGTCACCTTGCGTTGGATGGATCCGACCAGGACCGTCAACGGTCCCAAGACGCTGCGGATCGTAACGTGTCCACGACTCGACGTCCCAGTCATACACTCCCGTCCTCTCGGTGATGCCCAAGCTGAAGCCTGATTCGTGCAACATCTCGAAGAGTGTCCCTGCGGCTCGCGTGACATTCGTGAGCATGTCAAAGTCCGGCACCCGGAAAGGACCCGTGAACTTGATCGCGTTGGGCTTGATGAAACGCAGGATCGGATCGTGCTCCAGCAGCCGGATCAGCTCCACTCCAGCAAGCATATACCTCATCTCTGCCGCGGTGAACTGATTCCCCATGTCATCGCCTCTCGCCTTGACCGGCGGTCCATCCGCTAAACCCGGCGCGCAGAGCTTCTCCGGAGACTTGCGCTTGCGCGACTCGAAGCTGCTATTGAAGTCCACACTCGATTGGTATCGAGGTGGCGGCGAGGGCGTGGTCGTCGAGGTCTGGGCTGAGCCCGTCGAGGAACTCGGCGCGTGTTGGCCCGCTGAGAAACTCGTCGCGTCTTGTTTGACGGATCCGGCGAGAATCGTCAAGGGCTCCTGCACGACGCGAATCGCGCGCATCTTGAGGTCCCAGTCGCACAGCTCCTCCATCTCGAAAGATCCCAGCACGAACCCCGAGTCACGCAGCATCTGGAAGAGAGTCGGCGCGGCGTGGGCAACGCTGGTGAGACTATCGAAGTCCGGCGCGACGAAGGGGCCCGTGAAATTGCTCATCAGCATGGGCTTGAGGAAGACCAAGATCGGGTCTTGCTCCAGCAGCCAGACGAGCTCAGAGCGCGCCACGACGTACCGCACCTCTTCGACGGTGTACTGGCGCCCCGCGTCCTTGCCTTGCGGCTTGGACAGCGACGCTTCCGCCGAGTCCGGCACGCGCAGCTTCTTCTTCTTCCTCCTCTTGGGTGACTTGCGCTTGGCGGCGGCCTTGGCGGTGGGTTGCTGTTGGTCGTCGGCCTTTGCAGGCTTCCGACCAGTAGGACCGCGACTTGCGTCGCGGCCCTTCGCGGCTCCCTCGTCGGGAGCCGCATCGGGAACGGCAAACTGTTCTTCGTAGCCCTCCTGGTCGTCGCTGGCCCCGTGTCCTGTCGTGAAGGTTCCCACAGAGCTCCACGACGCGACAGGTCTCTCACTGTGCTCTCTTGCGGTCGGCGACCTTCCAGCCGACTGCGCACCTGCCTCCAATGCCTCTTGGATCGTTGGCCCGTCATTCGAAGTAGTACTCCCGGGTCGCGGCACCACTGTGGAGTAGCGCCCTCGCAGAAATCTCGCGAATGCGATCTCGCACAAACTCGGCGCGTCTGGATAGCGGTCGCGCCGAGCAAATTATTACCGGTTGTTGGAGTAGCGTATCTTCGAAATACAGGCCCAAGTCTTCGCAGGCTTCGGAGTTGGGGGTTCTTGTGTTGACGCTTGTTCCTTGTCGTAGGGCGTCGAGCCTTGGGCGTGCGGCGTTATCGGGCCGGCGTTTCCTCGGCGTTCCCGTCGGGCGTGCGGCGTTATCGGGCCGGCGTTTCCTGAGGCTTGTGTGGCTTATCGGACCTACAGGGGGTCTTGTGCACGGCGGTTATCAGGCCAGTGCGGTCCTTCGCCTAGGCAGCGCGTTATCGGGCGCCCACCTAAACGGTATACGTTTAACGTGCCTTTGTTCCAGCACGGGTCTGTGAGGGGTGAGCACCCGAACCAGCAAACGACGGGGGGCCGCGATATCGAGGCGGCTCTACTTGCCGGCGCTTGGTGGTTCCCCTGGAACCTCGGAGAAGACGGGAGGTCTTTGTGGTTCAGAGAAATTTCGGGACTGATATCCTATGTCCTTGCTACTGGCTACTCCGTACTACTGCTTGCTAAGCCTACCGCTCTGTGCCTATCCCTACTTCTGTCGTGCTTGCACTGCCGTCCTTCAACCTGATTTGCGTGGCGTAATCAAGATCTTACCTCGGCGCGTTTTGGTCGGCCGGGGTTTTGCTCGGCGCGTCTTACTCGGCGCATCTTGCTCGGCGCGTTTTGCTCGGCGGGGTTTAGGGTCGACGCGTTTTGCAGAACCGGGTGCGCTGGTCGGCTCGTCGGATGATTACGCGTCGAGTTGGACTCTGTCGCTGTGTCTCGCGGCCCATCACCCGCGTCGACTTTCCGTCGACCTCTGCCGCGTGTCGCCCCCATCAATCGCGTCGCGTTTCATGAACTGCGTCGAGTTCATCATCCGCATCCATCAGCATTCGTCTCAGCGCCTTCTTTCACCGACGCCGACGTGCCCGCTTCCTCGCTGGGCACTACACCACACGGAACGCACTACAGCCTGCGGCGCACGACCACTCATCGCCTTCGGTACAGCGTCAATCCAGCTCGTATGGCGATTGCCAACACCCAGGCACGCTCCACACAGACCCTGCTACCGCCCAGCGAGCGCCACACCGCGTCCGAACACTCCCGCAGAAACCATCGCCGACGATGCTCCTAGGGTCCCCGGTCGATTCCCACTGGTTGTACTGACCGCGACAAGCGCGCCCAGGACCAAAGCAGCGGCCAGGCAGGGTGGGCAGCTGCGCGAAGTATGCAACGGGCGCAAAGGAGCAAGCAGAGCGAGTGGAGCAGGTGGCAGCAAAAGAAGCTTCCGGGAATTGAACCCGGGTCACCCGCGTAACAGGTGTGGTGTAGTACCCCGCGGAAGAAGTGGGCGCGCCGGGCGCCGGAGGAAGAAAGCGCCGGGACGCGAGTGATGGACTTCGACGCGGCTGATGGAACGCGACGTGGATTGATGGGAGCGACGCAGGGCCGAGCTCGACGGGAAAGTCGGCGTGGGTGATGGGCCGCGAGACACAGCGACAGAGTCCAACTCGACGCGTAATCATCCGACGAGCCGACCAGCGCACCCGGTTCTGCAAAACGCGTCGACCCTAAACCCCGCCGAGCAAAACGCGCCGAGCAAGATGCGCCGAGTAAGACGCGCCGAGCAAAACCCCGGCCGACCAAAACGCGCCGAGGTAAGATCTTGATTACGCCACGCAAATCAGGTTGAAGGACGGCAGTGCAAGCACGACAGAAGTAGGGATAGGCACAGAGCGGTAGGCTTAGCAAGCAGTAGTACGGAGTAGCCAGTAGCAAGGACATAGGATATCAGTCCCGAAATTTCTCTGAACCACAAAGACCTCCCGTCTTCTCCGAGGTTCCAGGGGAACCACCAAGCGCCGGCAAGTAGAGCCGCCTCGATATCGCGGCCCCCCGTCGTTTGCTGGTTCGGGTGCTCACCCCCCACAGACCCGTGCTGGAACAAAGGCACGTTAAACGTATACCGTTTAGGTGGGCGCCCGATAACGCGCTGCCTAGGCGAAGGACCGCACTGGCCTGATAACCGCCGTGCACAAGACCCCCTGTAGGTCCGATAAGCCACACAAGCCTCAGGAAACGCCGGCCCGATAACGCCGCACGCCCGACGGGAACGCCGAGGAAACGCCGGCCCGATAACGCCGCACGCCCAAGGCTCGACGCCCTACGACAAGGAACAAGCGTCAACACAAGAACCCCCAACTCCGAAGCCTGCGAAGACTTGGGCCTGTATTTCGAAGATACGCTACTCCAACAACCGGTAATAATTTGCTCGGCGCGACCGCTATCCAGACGCGCCGAGTTTGTGCGAGATCGCATTCGCGAGATTTCTGCGAGGGCGCTACTCCACAGTGGTGCCGCGACCCGGGAGTACTACTTCGAATGACGGGCCAACGATCCAAGAGGCATTGGAGGCAGGTGCGCAGTCGGCTGGAAGGTCGCCGACCGCAAGAGAGCACAGTGAGAGACCTGTCGCGTCGTGGAGCTCTGTGGGAACCTTCACGACAGGACACGGGGCCAGCGACGACCAGGAGGGCTACGAAGAACAGTTTGCCGTTCCCGATGCGGCTCCCGACGAGGGAGCCGCGAAGGGCCGCGACGCAAGTCGCGGTCCTACTGGTCGGAAGCCTGCAAAGGCCGACGACCAACAGCAACCCACCGCCAAGGCCGCCGCCAAGCGCAAGTCACCCAAGAGGAGGAAGAAGAAGAAGCTGCGCGTGCCGGACTCGGCGGAAGCGTCGCTGTCCAAGCCGCAAGGCAAGGACGCGGGGCGCCAGTACACCGTCGAAGAGGTGCGGTACGTCGTGGCGCGCTCTGAGCTCGTCTGGCTGCTGGAGCAAGACCCGATCTTGGTCTTCCTCAAGCCCATGCTGATGAGCAATTTCACGGGCCCCTTCGTCGCGCCGGACTTCGATAGTCTCACCAGCGTTGCCCACGCCGCGCCGACTCTCTTCCAGATGCTGCGTGACTCGGGGTTCGTGCTGGGATCTTTCGAGATGGAGGAGCTGTGCGACTGGGACCTCAAGATGCGCGCGATTCGCGTCGTGCAGGAGCCCTTGACGATTCTCGCCGGATCCGTCAAACAAGACGCGACGAGTTTCTCAGCGGGCCAAGACGCGCCGAGTTCCTCGACGGGCTCAGCCCAGACCTCGACGACCACGCCCTCGCCGCCACCTCGATACCAATCGAGCGTGGACTCCGACAGCAGTTTCGAGTCGCCCAAGCGCATGCCCATGAACCGGCCGCCGCGCGTCATGCAGCTATCCGCGGCGCCCACGCGCACAGAGGTGACGAAACCCGCCGAGGAGGTGCTTCCCAAGGCCTTGAGAGAATCTATCATCAGGCTGATGCAGACGACAGTGATGAACACCCCGCGCGCCGACACGGCCGCAATTCCGACGGGGCCGAAGCCGCCCTCGAATCCCACACCCACGGTGGCTCGCCCCCAGGAGGCAGCGGATGTCGCCATGGAGTCGGTCAGTTCGCGTTCTTCGACGAGGTCCAGAACTCGACGCGACGCGGACGAGGGCCCCGATGACCTGTTCGACTTGGACATCGAAGTGCCAACAACCGCGGCCGCCGTCGCGACGGCGACAGCCGGCGGCGTAGCCCTCGCCCGCGTACGCCTCTCAGCATCTTCCGAGCTGAAAGAATTCTTAGGACGGGACGCCAGCGAAGAGAAAGCCAGACTGTGGCTCAACCGTCTGAAGTCCGCCGCGCGGCGCGACGGGATGACGGGCGAAGAAGTGTGCGGGCAGTTCAGCGATCTAATGAGCGGCCCTGCGCGCCAATGGTATCTCCAGTTGCCCAGGAAGGTCAAGAAATCATGGACCGAGCTGATGGAGCAATTCCGGGTGCAGTACTGCGGCAAGGGCGTGTCAATGGCCAGTCGCTACTACCATGCGGCTCAGCGCCCCGACGAGACCCCTCTGGATTACTCGTACCGGCTCAACGTCGCGGGCATGAGGGCCAACATCCCATACGCCGAGGGCACGACTGAAGAGAAGCGCGAACACGACGAGCATTTCATCCGGACGCTGAACACGCAGGAGGCCGAACTCGCCTCGCGTCTCACGCTGATGGAGGTCGCCGACTCCGAGGCGCTGGAGAAGAAGCTGCGTGCCCAACAACGTGGATTGGTTCACCAGAAAAAGACTCTCTTCGGCTCGAACAAGTTCCGCCAAAAGGCGCCGACCCCGCCGACTCAGCCGGCGCGCGCCGTGCATGCGATTCACGTCGCGCCGGACGAGTACGACTCGGAACGCGAAAGTCGCGACAGCGACGATCGCCAGTACGACCAAGGCGAGGCGGACGAAGAACGCGCCAAGTTGTTCGTCGCGGGACAGGCCCCGCCGGGAGAGCCGGCGCGTCGCAACTTCGATCCCGACGACTCGGGACGCGACCGCCCGTGGTGGTTCACGTCGCCATGTCGAAGGAGACTGCTGGAAGTTGTTGACGTGTCAGAAGTGTGGTGGCCAGCACCCGACGGAGCGATGCTTGAGGGTGTGCAAGGCCTGCGGTGACGTGCACAAAGTCGGAGAATGCCCGATGGAGGAGTTCTTCAACCAATTGCGCCAGTGGTTTGACCCGAATAAACACGCGGGAATGCTGCCGCCGGCCGCCGAGAAGATGTTAAACTAGGCGCTCGCTGGCTTGGAAACCAGTACGAGACGAGCGACCTGTTTCCGTCTATGCATATGTGACCAAGCAGTCGCGAGAGGTGGTTAGTGAGAGCCCGACTTCCCTGAATGATAATACGTGTGAATCCAACCCGGAACGTACCACGCAAGAACGCGCGCTGCGAATCTCGGCGGTCCGACGTACGACGGACGACGAGTTTGCACGTGAACCACCCCTGGATGAGATCGACTTGCAACCAGGA